TCAAGCAGTCCCAGTGGTGCTAACTGTCCTCCGTGTTGTAGAATGGAAAGAATAGGCTTTTGTCCTCTTAGGCATAATGTCATGTTGCATACTGTGTTACTAAATTGTGTGCTCCCATTGTTTTGTGAATGCTTTGCATCAAAATAATGATGTTCTTTTGTGGTTCTGCACTGACAACACATGTAAAAAGTGGAATTCTAATAGGAATTATTACAGTTTTTTTTTTCCTTTTTAAAATTTAAATCGCTTCTGATGTTGTGACCACGGTGACATAAATGTGTGCTCTGAGGAGTCAGGGGCAGAGCAGCTGAGTGTGTGTGTATGAGTAAGCCTGGAGGTCTTAATGATGTCAGTGCAGTTGTGTGTCCGTGCTCGGCCTGTGTGTGTTTAACGTCCGTGTATACCCTTAACAACTCCTCAAACTAACGAAAAAGCTCAAGTATGCCTCCGTCTCCCTAAGTGATGTCAGCACTCTCCCCACCCAGAAACATATTTGTTTAAAAAAACCAGAAGATTCTTCTCTTCCATCTGTAAGGTAAAGCTACACCCAGGAGGATCTTGACTTAAAGACTAAAAATATATTAAAGGACTAAAAGCAAATATTAAACTCAACTCATCACTATTTTTGTTTTGTTGAGTTTGCAAACCCTCCTTAATGAACCTTGATATGAATGAAATAACTTCCTGGATTCTTTGCTGGTTACTTTTTAACACTTCCTGCCAGGAAATGGTCTACCTTATAAGTATTCAAAAAGGTGATTAATGAGGATCGTAATGAGATTTGGGGTACTGATAAGCAACATTTGTTTGATTTATTTATTTATTTTTAAAGATAGGTTAGCTAATTGCTAAGTGACTGCTGGCTGTAGCTTTGTATTAACCAGTAGATGCAGGAGTGGTGGATCAAAGAAAGTACATTATGCATGTATCCCCAAATTTTTAGACTATTACTGTTGTGATATTTAACACTGTATTGCTTAGGATCATAGACACAATTCAATTTTTTCAGTATTGTCATTGCTTTTCTTTTTCCAGACATCTCTCCTGCCGAACTGGATGCTCTATGGAGGGAACCGCCATATACTCTCGGTGGAGCTAATGAACACTTCCCAGGAAATGACATCATGACTCAAGGTGTGTTAGCTATGTTGCACCAAACAGCCGGATGTTTGGAATCAGTTTGAAATCATAACATTATTAAGTGCCCGATTCGTTTAGAGTACAAATAAGTCATCAGCATTCATGTGAGAAGGAGCGGTGCTGCTTGCGCCGTGTTCAAGCAGAGGAAGTGTTTGGGATATCCTCCCTGCACAATGGAACAAACCAGGGACAGCCCGTATCAACTTTCCTGAGAAAAAAAAAAAGCGTGTGCATTCAGCTTGCTGCAGGTTTAGAAATGATTAAGATCCTGTTTACTTAAATGGCTGGCACAGAAAAAGTGCTAGAGTAATTGGTGATATGTCTAAAGCTGTAATCTACTAAAGTATGTAGCAAATGAGTTTAAACTGAGCATAAAATGAAAAACTTGACAAACAAACACTTCTTACAACATCCGGCTCTGGAAGATAGGATGGGTGGTGTCAGTTGACGGACTACTGTGGATTTTTGTGGATATATTAGAAAGAAAGTCTAGAAACTACTTTTAAATTCATGAGTTCATCCTGTTCAAATACAGACTGCAGCGTGTTGTTTTTGTAAATAGCAAAGAGCGATTGCTATCTTGTGTCATCTGGTAACATTCCCAGTTTAATCTCCATGCCAGTCTGGAACATGCATTGCAGTAGCAATCTACTCTTAAAGCCCTTGTGTTGTCTGTTTTGATAAAATAGTTTCCACATACAACATCCACGTCTCGATTACACCTCAAATGTGAAAATGCTGTTTAGGAAACACTGCCTTAACCAAAAGTACGCTGAGTTTCCTCTCCTCATTTTCTTCTTGTTTAAATTTTAAGATCTAAACTATATTCAGGAACTGTTTCATGACTTTATTTCCTCTTTCAGGTGCTGGTGAAGAGGAGGATGTTGCAATAGTAATATCAGGTGAAGGTACGGTGGAGCCTGACAGTTACTGGAAGAAGAGGAAGGAGGCCTTCCTTAGAGGAAGTACCGTGTCACTGGGAGACAAATTCTCTTCAGGTACACTTTGTGGCACTTTTACTCGAATTATTTGCCTGGATTGTTTTGCCTTATTACTGGAAAACCTGCTTTCGTATAAGCTTTGCTAAACTAATTTCATACACAGGATCGTTTCCCATGCATATTATATTTATGCATACTGATGAACAACATTCCCCGTCTGCTAATGTTTTACTCACTCAGCATTTTAACTTCATCCATCATTTTCCCTCAGGTTCTTCCTCTCAAATGGATTTAAATGGCCACACTGAGTGTCCAGTAAAAGGCCTAATAGCTTTGTTATTCCTCTGAGGAATCACATTGTGCTCACAAAGCATCTTCCTGAAATATAAGCTCTCAGAGAAAATATTTGACAAAATCTTGCTTTTTGTGTTTTGATGAAAATGATGTGTTTTTATTCCGGTTTCGGTTTTATGTTTTACTTTTTTGGAGATACTCTGAATAGTGGAACAAAAGGATTTAAAATGCCCTCCATATTTATTCCTGGTTAGCTATAGCTCAGGTAGAGTGGGTGATGTACTAACTGGAAGGTTGGTGGTTTGATTCCTGGCTGCTCCAATCTGTGCTGTAAAGTATTTTGGGGCAAGATACTGAACCTTAAGTGTTCCAGTGCATTCATCACAATGCGAATGTGCGTGAATGGGTGAAGGAAACATGTTATATAAAGCACTTTGAGTACAATATAAGTGAAGTAGAAAAGGCAAATTCTTTATATTCCTCATATTTCACTGCTATAACCAATTTAAACTCAGTGTTGATAACCCCAGAGCGCATTTTGTCCTCTTGCTAGAAATCGTGCTACTGTTCACCGGACGACGGCGTTCCAGTGCAGATTCTGACCGGACCCTCCAGGAGGCGCTACGCACACGACTCCGAGTGGTGGAGAGCAACAGCCAGGACGTCATACAGCTCTTCAAAGTGAGTCCCTATGATGAAGACGACACACAAGCTTTCCTACACTGCTAAACTGTCTGATATAATAATGAAAAAGTAGTATGTTTTTACCATATAATGATTTCATATTACGCAGTATTATATACTGTACATGTAATGTGCACTTTATAGAGATGGCTTAATGACTTTTTACTGTAACGTGAGACTTTGTTTCTGCAGGACTTGTCTGCACGTCTGGTCTCTGTCCACGCTGAGAAGGATAGCTTTGTACTCACATTCAAAACTGTAGAGGAAATCTGGAAGTTTTCAACATACCTTGCACTAGGTAGGACTAATAAGCAACCTTCTGGATGACATTTCAATGTCTGTATTCTCTCTTTTTCGTCTTTGTTGTGCCATCATCACAGTAATAGTACTGGTTGGCATGAGTATAAGCAGTAGTATTTCATCTGGTGCTGCATGTGCTCTTGCCCAGGCTATGTGGCTCGTTGCTTGGAAAACTTCCTCTGCGATCCGTCATTCTGGTTGGACCCAGAGCTGCTCAATGACTTGCAGATCAGTGTGACAGTGGATGAGGAACATCTGGCCACACTGTACCTTGGACTTTTACTCCAGGAAGGTCAGTAGTGTTGTAAGCGCAGTAATTCATGTCACTGAAATGTAAGGGTTTGTTTTATCAGGCTCTGGCATTGCACAGGGATAACATGTGGAGGGAAAAGGTTAAGCATCTGTAAATAGAAATGAGATCCTGTCAGTAAATCAGTGATCCGAAGTCTATACTTTAGACTCTAAAGCTGCTGCCTGTATTTCAAAATGTTAATGTATTGATTCATAATGAGATTTAAAAAAGAAAGATAAAGTCAAATGAGTCATTGTCAGAGTAATCTTGAACTTAAGTAGTTAATTATAGGATGTTAACTGAGTTCACTGTGATTTGATCCCATTATTTTTAATCCATTTCTTTGTGACCCCAATTAAGACTTGAATGAACAGATTGCCTCACATAGCTTAAGTAAAATTGTAGAACAGACCCGCCTCATATGTAGTGGAAGCACTTTTGTGCTGTGCGGAAACTAATTTAGAAACTACGATACACTTTTAATCAAGTCAACATTATAATCACACTTTTATTCATATCAGGTTTATAGAGTTACTGTTAAACCAAAATCCCAAATTTGATCTGCTGTTTGAATGCATTAGACAACGACATGAAGTACAACTTACTGTGCTGTTCTCCTCCATGAATGTGTATCGATTCCCTCCCGCCGGGGCGGCACAGACATCCCTTCTTTCTCTTGAACATATCCTTCAGGCAAAATGCATCATGGGAATGCATAATAGGACTGCAATGCTGGCAAATAGTGGTGAAAATTACATTAACTTAATGGGCCAGGTTATAAAACATCCATCTTTTCCCAGTGACTGAATGAGGGCGCGGCAACTCTGGCAATTTTGCTGATTTTGAACTTAAGTGCAGTAACGTTTACCAGCATCATAAGCAATGACTAAAGACGGGTTTTGTGTTTCTTTGTGTTTCGGGCGGGGGAATAGCGAAGCTGATTCTCTCTACTAAAAATCAGTCTCCTTCCAGGATCCTGCTTTGCTAAGGCGCTGTTCACCAGAGCCGACAATGACGAGGATGAGGAGCAGCTGTCGTTCCAAAAGAATGACCTCTTGGTGGTGAGGGACACGGGGCAGGACGACATGTGGGAGGGCACCTTGCTCACCACAGGAAACCACGGCATGGTGCCAGTCACTGCCATGCAACCCCTGCCCTACCCGTTCTATCAGTAAGTTGCTATCTGTTCCTCAAATTGACCACTTCACCTATGTGGAGTACAGTATTTGTTAAATTATACTTCCTGTTTGGTCAGGTGGTTCCTGAAGAAGTACCCAGTCTATGCTGGATGCTCACAAACAGAAAGGGAACCATTTGAGCATCCTATCGGTAAAGCTTTGCTATCACATACAGCATACTGTAACCACAGTGCCTGTTGAAATGTAACTGCGGAACTAACTGATATACCCTCAAATTCCTAATCAGTGTGCTTAAAAGTGTTGTTTCTTTTGCCCTTCACCTCATTAAATGCCTCAGTGACTGGCTCCTGTGTGGCAGTAGCTGACTACAGCCCAGTGGGACCAGATGAGCTCCCGCTCAGCCAAGGTGACGTTGTGGAGATCCAGGGTCTGTTGCTCCGAAGCCTGGGTGTTTTCATAGGACGACACACTTCAACTGGATGCCGCGGCTTTGTTCAAATAGCTCACGTCAAGCCTCTCAATACTGCACCCTTGTAAGAAAGTCTTTTTTTTTTCTTTTTTTTTTTTGTAAATCCAGGCAGTGGCTTAAACTAGCTGGTCTCATTGTAACATGTGACGCTTCACCTTAAAATCACTTTATCGCAATACCATCTACATTCCTTATGTCTTGTTTACAGTCTTCTGCTAATCTTTTATGAAATCCTATTTCGAGGATTCACAGTCTGGACAGGGCGGATCAGGTGATGAGGCCTGGATAATCATAATGCTGCCTTTGTTTCCGTTACACAGAGATGGACAATTGGTCTTTCTAACCGAAGAGGAGAAAGCCAGCCTTGCTCAGGTTAACCCTTGCAGTTCTGAGCTGAGCGACAGCGGCCTGCTGGAAAGGCTTTTCTCGACTGACATCAGCTCCGTTTACAGGCTAGGTAAAGGAATGACTGGGCTCGCTGAGAAATGTTGCACTTTTAATTAGCTAGGGGAAAAGGGAGGGATCGTGTCATCGAGGCATAAGTGAAATACAAGTCATGTTTGTTTCCTAAATAGCGGCGGTATTTGTAATTTATTCTGGGAAAGATAGTTTCCATCTGTGCTTCCAGCTGGAAAATCAATGCTGAATTGATTTACCTTGTGTGTTTCCAGATAGGCTGGATGAAACCGACTTCATGTACATTAGGAGTCGGCCAAAACATGGTAATGACTTTTTAAGAAGAAACCTGACGTTTACGATGCTGATGCCTTTGAGCAGCTTGAGAAAGGATTTATGATTATACCTGTCGTCTTTACAGATCTTAAAGGCCTTACGAGCGCTCGTCAAAGCATCATGTCAGAGAGAAGTGGAGTCACACCCACCCACCAGTCGTCCCCTCGCCAATCGCTCTCTCGCTCCTCTCCTCATCTGTCCCTCTGTCACTCTCTCAACCCTCTGCCACGAGAGGGAGAGCGCCTATCCTTCACCCTGGATGACACATTCAGAGAACTGGACGAGTTCCAGGAAGATCCTCCTCTTTTCTTGGAAGAGAACAGCTGGGATGGGGAGGAGTCAGAGAGCAGTGACCCTACACTGACTCTACTCAACCAGGAACACTTCCAGGTCTGCCTCATTTATTACATTACTCAAGTCTTTCTTTCTTAGCCATGTTGAGCTTCCTGTGTCTGACTTTCATTAGGACATTTGCCCTCCTGTTAACTCGGTTAATGCCTAAAATAACTCTAAAACCCTTTGTTTGTTGTTTTTTACCCCCAGGATGCTTTCTTGCCCCTGTATGACCTGCAGTATTCCTTCCTGTGGGTGACTTTCAGCGGCAAGACTGAGGACGAGCTGTCAGGTCACCTTGAGAGTGTCAGAGAGTGTGCCAAGAGAATGGGAATGCACTGGGCGCATCGGCGGGCATGCTTTCTCCTGGGGAGACTATGTGCCAGGAAGCTAAAGTTCTCACAGGCATGCTTTTGTTTTTTTGGTTTTTTTTTCATTTGCATTTACCATAAGTGTGCTTTGTAGGCTGTATGATTACATACTTTAGTGTTTTCTAAACAGAGATTTCAAGGCAAGTTAGCCTGTAACAAGACACCACACATGACCATTTACATAATATTGTAATAATAATAATGATGCTTTTTGCAGTGTGGAGAGAGATAAAATGAAGTGCACAAATTATTTGTCGCACCTTTTAAATGAAAATAGGTTTGAAACACCGAATTTTGCTGCAGTTTTACTTGGCGGAACGTATTTGTTTTCGATCTACACCAGTGTACAATCTTTTCTCCCCAGGCACGTGTATACTACGAGGAAGCTCTGAGCGTCAGTGTCGACAGCTTCTCTGATGTTCAGCTCCTGGTTGCCCTCTTCACAAACCTCACTGCTATTTACCTGAAGCAACGCATGACTGACAAGCTGCCCCAGACTCTGGAGAAGGCCAGCGCCCTGCTCCTATGCCTCCCCTGTCGTTCCTTCACATCGACCGATGAAGTCGAGCTGCTCAAGGTGCTCCTGAGGAGATCGGTGGTGATGGTGGACAAGCACCTGGAGGCTCGTATCTGCTACCTCATGTCCACCCTATTCCTGCTACTCAAGAAGAGCGATGACGCTCTTCCTTTTGTCGAGCGGCTCCAGTTTCTTTCGCTGACTCTGTCTGCCGCCGACGGGCAACCGATAGCTCCTTTGGATCTCAACTGGCTCCTCAGCTGGCTCTATCACTGCAAATACATGCCTTACTTAGCACTTGCCTCGCTGAGCCTGGATTCGAGACAGGACCACTCTCTCCACAATGTCTTTCAGAGGATTGAATTATTTATCAGGAACTCTGTTCGTTTGAACCCCTGCTGGAAGGAAGGAACCTCACTGCTCCCTGCTCAGATCGTAGTTTACCTGCAGCAGACTCTGGCAATAGCCGAGCGCGGGGATGACATGAAGATCCAAAGGGACCTGTGTTTGGGCTTGGCCTCAGTTTACCAGCAGTACGGCGCTCTTGATAAAGCACTGCACTGTGCTCAACGAGCTGTGGAGAAAGGAGGCCACATCAATGAGGAGGAGGGATTTGAGGCATCTGTGTTGCTTGGGTGGTTGCTGGTGTTGACAGGCCAGGCTGAGAAGGCCCAGAGTGTTCTACAACCACTGCTCACATCACTACAGGTACAGTGACCAGTGATGAACTGGTGAAGAATGACACACTCGCAGTGAATAATGTCTAAACAAACATGAATGTCATGGGTAATACGTGCCTTCGCATCTTTCTGCAGGGAACAGACAGTCCCACTCAGCGAGGTGTGATCCATAACCTGCTGGCTTTGTGTCTGAGGCGTCAGGGTCGCATCCCAGAGGCAGGATGGCACCTCCACTCTGCCTTGGTAATCTCCAGAGAAAATGGAAACCAAAGGAATCAGGCCCTGGCACTTGCCAACCTGGGGTGTCTGGCACTGGACGCGGGGGCGTCTTTGATTGCAGAACGCTTCCTGGTCAGGTCAGATCTTTGACATTTTTTGAAAAATCTGCCACAGTTAAATTTTGACAGATCAAACAAATCTAGCGTCTATAGGATTATTTAGTTTTGATATAATCTTATTTTCTCTTTATTTTAGATCCATGTGCCTTTTTTGGGATCTCTGGGAAAGCCCGACAGATGAGGAGCACGTTCAAACCTACCTGTGGCTGGGGCGTAGCTACAAAGACAGGGGGCGGAGTCAGGACATCAGGGCATGCTATGAAATTGGGTTACTAATTGCACTACATGCCAAAAACCTGCACAGTAAGTACAAGTTCATCCATGAAACTTGCTGTAATGTACCTCCACTGAAAATGGCACCTTCAAGCATGCATTTAGGTTCATGTATTCGTGCACACTAACTACTAACTGCATGTAAACAGAGGACTTTGTATTAAAATTCAAGCAGGTAGTCTGTCCATTAAGCCCACAGGTATTACGTAACTATAAATAGAATATAAAAAAGGAATCATGATATGACCAGTATGATTAGCTGGTTATGTTGATCTGAATTTTTCATAGGTCAGATGGTGGTGGCCAAGGTGCTGAGCCGACTGTATGCTGACATGCTGCTTTATGGTCAGAGCATTGTCTACTATGAGCACTGTGTGTCAGTGTCCAGAGAACTGAAGGATAAGAGACTGGAGGGGGAGTATCTGGAAAAGCTCAGTAGCCTCTACCTCACACTCAACGATGAGAGGTGAAGATTTGCGTCTCATTTCTACGATTCTGTCTCTATCTGTAACCTAACATTTGTGTCTTAGATTTTATGGTTTTTAATCGTGCATTCTGTGCAGGTCATCTCGTAAATCTCTCGACTACACCAAACAAAGCTTGAGAATTTCTATCGATCTGGGAAAGAAAGAGGAAGAGTCTGAGACCTGGCTACAGGTCGGACGCATTTATTATCTCGTTTATGAGGATGAGTTGGCTGACATGTATTTACAGGTGAGGAGTGTTGGTGTGTGTACAGTAGTAGAGGAAACTTTTTCCTTTCAGTGCCTTTTGTTGTTTCATAAATCTGGTATTCCTGAAATGTCGATATTCCACATTCCTGAGCAGCAAACGGTTCCCTTACTAAGCAGTTAATGTTTTTACTTATGAAGTATAAAATAAGATCAAATGACAACATTTGATTACTTGTGTCTTGTCGTATTTGTTTTGTTTGCTTGTTTGTTTTTCAGGCAGCAGTAAAGACAGCCTTAAGGATGAATGACCCTCACTTTGCCATGAGCATCTATGAGGAGGCAGGAGATGTTTACTTTAAAGGTCACAGGAACCGGATGGCTTCACTGCCGTTCTACAGGGTAAAAGGATACTTCAAGTGTACTGTTTTGGGTTTTTTTTTTTTTGGTTTTTTCAATAACAAACTGTAGAAAGTTTGGATTCTCAGTAAAATTACTTATATTTGCTTTCAGGATGGGAGTCTGCCGTTTGCGAGGAGCATCGATGACATCCACTCAGAGTTTCGATTGTTAAGTAAACTCACAGACCTGCTGATGAATGAAAAGGAGCACGAGGAGGCTCTGCAGTACGCAACACTGGCTGTCCAGGTCGCCAGCAAAACAGGTACAAAGTTGAGCCGTGCCTGAGCCTCATGTCTGTAATAATCCTCTCAATCCAGGTACAGTGTGGTATTTGTACTTGGCAAGATACTTTATAAAAAAACATTGACTTTTTTTTGCTTTAGGAGTGAGTGTGAATGAGAGGAGTGCTTACCATCGATTAGCCACAATTTACTACAGTCTGGAGCAGTATGAGATGGCAGAAAACTACTACCTGAAGTCGCTGTCACTGAGTCCGCCTGTCCTACAGCACCCCATGGAGGCTCGCTACTACACCAAGGTCTACTGCAGGCTGGGAAACTTCACTCTACACAAACTCAAGGTACAAGGGACACAGTTACAGTGTTGCATTGGGAAAGATAGAGAGAGCACATTCCTAAAATGATCCGGTGTGGGGAAGCGACCGCACCGCCCCTTATTTTCTCCCTCATCTCGCTGAAGTCAGCGTTCTCAGAAAGAAATGGAAAAAATCATCCCAGAAAGGAAAATATAATAAGAGTGCATTCTGACTCAGGCATATTTAATATTACTCTGTTAAGAGAAACACACACGCTCACACTGTAATTTGTTTTACACTTTAACCAATGATTTAGTGGCAGTATTAAAAATCTGCTTGTTTTTCTGTATTAAAAATAACTTTCGAGAAATGACTTCTTCTGTTGGCGATGATCGATTTCACTGTCCAAAGCTGATGGCAAATGTAAGCTTTATCTTTCTATATGTCAAAATGACCTGCTCATGTTTTAATCATTGGCTGAGAAACAGTATCGCTTTCAGGTTCATCTCGTGGCGATGTAACCTTCAAATGTGGAAATTATGTGTTTGATTTTGACAAGACCAGCTCTGACCTCTGTTCTGCGTGCTCGCTCTACAGGATGCTTTTGATGCAGTGGGCTACTTCCAGCTGGCTCTGGCAGCAGCACTTGAGGACCAAGCTAACCCTGAGGCTCTGTATGTGGTGTACATGAAGCTGGCCGAGATCCATGGCAACCACATGCCCGATGCTGAGCTGTGCCAAGTTTACAGAGACAGAGCCCAGAGTCTGAAGAGAGTTTTGGCTGGATTGGAAGGCACTGCTGTTGGACAGGAAAACAAAGATGATGCAGATAGAGAGGCCGTCCAAAATATGGAAAGGAACTTGGATGCTGACGTGGGATATACAGAAAATTTGGTTAAGTCGAGCTCCTCTTTTTATTCTATACCTGAAAGTGTGACGAATGAAGATGACTTGGCTCCAAGAACTCGTAGGATGCACGTGAAATCAGACAACAGATGCACAGACGCTAATCTTAGATTAGGTGCTAATGGGAAAACCCACCATAACTATCTTCCTGACTCAGTGGATGTGTCTGGCTCTGAGACAGATACCATCGCCAGTCAGTCGTACACTGAGAGCATTTTCACGGAGTCCTTCGATACAGCCAAGGAGGACATGTCAGACTCCAGCAGCTCTACTGACACTCTACAAACTCACCTGAAGCCACCTGAACATAACATTCCCACTCAAATACCTGTTAATCGCACAAGTGATGTCACAGGAGACGCACAGTCCAAAGACGCTGATTCTGATACTCAGGATGACGAAAACACCCTCACTAATGAGACTCCAGCTCAAACAGAGCCTGGTACTGACCAGCGTGTTGTTATAAACAACGATGAAGCTCTAAGAGAGGGCAAAGAGAGAAATGGTTGTGAGACTGGTGGCGCTCACAGTTAACAGGCTGACGGAGGCGCATAGTATTTCTCCCTTTACGGATCTTGCCGGCTTTTGCTTCATCAGGTCACATGTGTCTTGGCAGGGAAAAAGCCACAGGGCACAAACCCAATACTGTAAATCTACGAGACAATTCGCTGATTTAGAGCATGTGCATTCTGTCTTATGCAATCACAGGGCGCTGTGCTTGCAATATATGTTTTGTACATTTTTGTATCTCTGGAAGATATGACACAAACATAAAAAAAAGTGTTATTTTCTTTGCTGAGTGTTGATTTTTATGTGGTTGCCCAATCAAATAAGAGAGGAATATGCAGAGTATGTGCATGTTTCCATAAGGAAGAACAGATATAAAACACGAATAATAATTACTGCTCATTTATACTACCAGCCGTTACTGCTATAATGGTTGGTAGTATTAATGATTCTTTGTGGTAGCATTTCATGGGCAGTGCCAACCATTCCAGTATATGCATACATATATATAGTTAGGTTTCCTAGAAACCATTTCAAAACAAAGTTAAGTGTGATATGCTGTAAATGTAGAGGAAGTTTTAAACATAAGCAGAAGTATGTCTGAGTTATTTAAATACAAGGCTAGATAAAAATCATTTGCATACAGGTGACACGTGCGTTATTCAGCAGCTTACTTTCCTTAATGGAAGGTACAAAACCAACCTGATATCAGAAAGAAATCACAATGTTCCAGGTGAGATTTCATGCCTGAAACCAGGCAAAAAGAGGACAGAAGAGTAAATAGTGTGAGAAAGTGATCCCGAATGCTCTGCAGCTTCCCTGCAGTGTATTCCAGTATGTTTTGTCCCTGTGGCTTTGTTTCTTATTTGTGTTTTGGTTGATAGAAAGACCAGAGATGATGCTCCCTGTGTTGAAATTGACCTTATTCCTGTTGTGTTTATTGTTATAATGGAAATGCAAAAGAAGGAATGAAAGAGAAAATGGTGCATTTGTTTACCATAATGTTGTCTTCATTGGGTTTATGTCACAGTGCTCAAGTAAGTTTCTGTTTTTTGACAACCATGAAGTGCTCTTAGATGGCAAAGAGCATGCTCACAGCAGCTCACTTGATCAGTTAAAAGTCTCGAGCAGGCCAGTTTGATTCAGATTTAGCAATGATGGCAGGAGGAATGGATCCAAGTGACCTCAGCGTTTCAGGAGGGATCTTGGCCACAAATGCTTTTCGACAGAGTAGTGTGTCTTTGAAAACTGTGGTCTTAAAAAACGTTTTAATTTAAACCTGTGAGAGTAGTAGATGGTTAAAGAACTGGTTCTAATATAGCGGTTTTCTGCTGGAGCACTCAAAGCACTTTATGCAACATGTCTATCTAACAATGACATTCCTATGAACGCATCTAGAGCAACTTGAGGTTCAGTATCTTGCCCAATGATACTTTGGCATGTAGACTGGAGCAGCCAGGGATCGAACCACCAACCTTCCAATTAGCGGGTGAGCTGCTCTGCCTCCTGAGCCGGAGGCAAGAACTGTATATCGCATTAATGCGACATAAAAGGACAAGAGAATATCTTCCTCGGGTGACTAAGAAGGTGAAGAATGGATTCAGACTGTAAGCAAGAACATCCATAAGCAGAAGAAGCAGATGGATAACGTCATCTGGTTGGGCTGCATAAAGCCATCATAACAAAGATGAATGCACATTTGAGAGTTCAGCTGTGCAAAAGCCATTGATACTCGTCAACAGTGCCTTGTCACCTCACAAGAAAGCTCCTATTTTGCCTTTCTGCGTGGTTTGTATGTTCTCCCTGTGCCTGTGTGTCTTTCTGGATGGATAAAAGGAATGGATGCATAAAACCCATCCATATTTCATTGACATTCTTAGTCCAGAGACATGGATGTTAGGCTAACCAGTGATTATCATTCTGAATTAGAATGAATGTGGTGTGAATGAAGGCTGTGTACAGTATAATTTCCCTTAAATGTGATTTGTAATCAAAGTGCTCTGAATGGTCAGTAAGACCAGAAAACAGAGTGCATTAAATTGTAAAGGTCCATATATTTGTTATAATATAAATGATATAAGAATAGGTTTTGTATTAATCAGCTGAAACTTTAGTCAGCAAATTTAAAAAATAAAGCACCTGATCATAATCAAGTATTTATTTATATAATGCACAAGTTTCCATTTGGTGAAGTACAAATAAAAAAAATAATTCAAAGTAAATATTAAAAGTCACTAATAAAGTTGTCTTTACATCAATCCTGAGCTATCCGATTTACAGTGAAAGCCTTCCTGATACTGATTTTTTTTTTTTATTATTGCTTATTTTTGCCAATGCTGGGAAGTGACCTGTTCTGTACCAGCTGAATTACAAATACAGGGAAGGCAGAAAAGAGAGCACAATAGAAATAAACTTTCCACCAAATGCCTGGAAACCACAACTCCAGGGTGAGCATAATGAAAAGTGTCTTTTCAGTCCTTTTACAAGCTTATTGGAATCCACTGATTGGGAAATACTATGTTTACTAATTACATCAAGCCTAGTCAAATAAATGTTGTTTCACAAGGGACATCACAGGAAACAGAAGTCTAAAATACACCCACAAAAGAGACTTCATTTCAAGTAGTTTGGTACTTCCCAGAGTGTGTTAATATAAACGGTGATGAAGATCTAAGTGAACAATGTTGGTGCCACACAGAGTGAACATGCACACTACACACAGTCTCTTAGCGGCACTCATATTTCTTTCATTTCCCCAAGTGTGTCTTTGCAAGAAAATTGACTCTAATGTTAGGAGCACATGGCGCTTATTGTGCAACTGTGATGTCATTACCGTAAATCTGTCATATTAAGTCAATTCGAACCATGTGCATTTCTAAATACTGCATTTATCACCAAATGTCAAAACAGAGAACATTTGATCTTATTTCATTTGATTATTTTTAATATGCTTATTCTTAATTTGATGGCAGCAAGAAAGAGGCAGAGGCATGTTTCCCACTTGCATCACCACTTGTTCAGTTTTGAAAGCCAAGTGTTTTCCATTTTGTCTTTTTAGTGGATGACAGGCCACTTTAGTACATCAACTGTTTTTGTGGTTTGGCATTGACTTTCTGATATAAGGAAAGCGTGCTCTTAAAAAGAGGCCGTCAATGGCAGCATGCTATGTTGTTCAGAAACCTGAATATGCCCTTCAGCAATATAAAGACTTTGAGAGATGTGCAAGTCACCCATGCTATGTGCACGAACACACTTTCACTCATGAAACTCATGCCTAAGATCAATAAGGACGAGTTGTGTTCATTCATCTGCCATCTGTGTTTGAGCTACTACTGCACAACTCAGTTCTGTTGTTATCATATTCATTTTCTTGCCCACCTCTGTTGCACATCCTTTAAATCTCACTGCTTTTCTGTCATTCTGCCTGCTACACTCTCATTTGTCCAATCCATCTCCTCCTGACCACCACCAGCATCTAGACTCAAGGAGAACCTTCCTACTTCCTAACATTGTTTCTCTCCACTCTGATATGGAGCTTCACTGGAGTCTACTTACCAGATCTGTATCTGTATTTCAGTAAATCTTCCTTCAAATGAGCTGATGACCGGCTGGATGGTGCTGGTCCACAGTGTGATCCAATAATAAGGTCACAAGAGTTTTCCTCCTCCAAGCTCTAGAGTTCTAAGACACTATTTCAGCCATTCACAATTGGTTAGCCGTGATTACTGGTAGTATACAAAGATTTTTTGATATTCTCTGAATCCTTTAATCACATTGTGCTCCTGAGATGATGAAATCCAGAAATCTGTAGCAGTTTTGAACAATATTCTTCATTTGTTAAATGTTTCACTGCCAATCTTTCACACAAGCCTGAACCGTTAGCCGACTTGAGACTGCTAAGACTTTACTAAGTTATCACATTGGCCATGAGATGTGAGAAGAAGTGTTTCCACTATTTGTTTATTTTTAATATTCGACAACTTTTCATTCCAAATGTGAAAAAAAAATAAAAAGAAAGTGTGGTCGTATTTTCAAAGACAAATCAGATTGATCGTTTTCAGATTTTGGTGTCATTTTTTCCTCTCTCTAAATATTTATCATATGACAATGAGTACTGAGCAAAAACTAAGCACTAATATTTTATGTAACAGAGTTCTGTTGTACCTTAAGCTCATTTAGAGTGAAGCAAAAAATCATGCTGTAATTAGACAGTATTATTAGGGGACCAGGTAGACTTCAGTTTGCAGTGTGACTATGGTTGACCTCCTCTCCACTGACCACAGTGCTCTCTGGGCTAAAATGCATTATTTGGAGAACTATAAAAAGGCAGGAGTCTAAGCAAGCAGATATCTCTGTTTTTCTATTTCTGCTTTCAAAAGTTCTTTTTTAAATATACATCATAACTTATAAAAGCTTTTTTTTTTTTTTTTAATGATGGAGGGTTTTTGTAAATTTGGCACTTCTTAAACAGCTCCACAAGAGGGCACTCTCTTACTGATGTACTATTTGGCTGTACAGTAAAAACTATCAGCATGGTGTTCCCGTCTTCAGCCAGAGGTGGGCAGTGAAAGACAACGCTCAGCTTCATGATAGTTTTTTTTTTTCATCAGCAGCCTTACAACAGGTAGAATAGGAGAGAAGAGGAGAAAGAATATCTCCATCAATCTGCTTGGTAATGACAGCAAACCACGGGGAGCATAATGTAAAGTGTCCTCTATGTCACATTTATGGCTTCAGTTCACATACAGTGAATGTCCTGTAATGACCTTTATGTCCCAGAGCCCTGAAATGAACAGTGAGAAGGAAGATTTGAACTAACACAGACAATAATAATGGGTGATTTTTTTATAGGTACATATAGTGCTGCTTGACTGTAGCCATACTTTTGTGGAGACTTTTGTGCTCTGGATTTCTCTGATTAGATCACTAACATATTAACTACCCTGCATTTCACTGGCAAATATCAGAGAGTTCCAACAAGGGCAAACAAAGAAACGGCTAACGACTGGATTGTTGCAGGACAACGAGGAAAAGGAAGAAATGTTTGCATACATAATCTGCATGGTAAATAATATTGCAAGGTTTCCTTCCCCCCACAAGCATGAGTTTAGCACAAGTTCAAAACAAGAAGAGCTGTGCCAAAACAAGCACTGAATTGTTCTTCCTTTTTAAGTATTCCCAGGGTTACATTCAAGCAATCTTTAGGGACTTATAATTAACAAGTTTACACTCTACGCTCCACCTAATACTCATGTGAAATTATAAGAGCTCATTCGGATCAAAAAAAAGAAAACCACAAGAGGCTTTATCTAAGAACTTTGATGCAGCGCATGTTCCCTCTAAACCGAGTCGTTTTTATAGTAAAGAAGTACAACCCTGTTCCCAAAAACGCTGAGATGCTTTGTAAATAAAAGCAGTATGTAAAAAATGACCTCTCTCTATATAACAATATATGTAAGGCTTATAAGCATTTTCTTTTAGCAACAGATAATTAATGTTAACCAGCTTATAATGACAAGTGACTTCATGAATAGCCTCTTTCATAAATCAGATTTAATGAATTACTTACGGCCTCCTGCTTAAAGTGATTCCCACTAGCCTTCTGCCCCTAGATAACATTCCCAGATTGAGAAATAACAGTTAAAATAAAAATGTTGAAATCCATGTTGCTGTCCGCTGTCAGTGTCCTGTAACCGCTCACAATAGCATAAACAAGGAAATCAACAGCTATTTCAGCTATGCAGCATATTTATGTTGCTCACCTGTGACACACAACTCTCTACGACTCACACACACACACACACACACACACACACACACACACACACACACACACACACACACACACACACACACACAAGTTACTGAAGCATACAACA